ATATTTTTTTTTCGAAAAAGAGCAACCAAGAAATCTCAAGAAGATTAAACGATTGATAACAAAACCCATAATTTTAGAAACCAAACATCGATAAGAAGGCTACGAGGCTGATTTCCACCATGAATTAAGGGGACTCACGAATCGTGAAAACTTAAATTATACTTATTTCGCAATTTTTTGTTAACTTGTTACCGCTACGTGTGCATTTTACAGTCCATGCAGATTTGAAGATTTGTTATAAATTTGTTAATTCTTCCACAATATTTTTCTAAAATTTATAAATTTAGGTAATCAGCCACCAGCAGGTGATGCTATGCACAGCTTCACATAATGATTACTTGACTCATAGTCTTAATTTGCCTCCATATGATATAGAGGTGTTCAATGGTGACTTTCTTTCCTTGCCCACTTTTAGGGATTTCTTCTTAACTGTCTACATTAACAATTCTCGTTTAAGCGAAATTGAAAACTAGTGGCGAAGCTCGAGATATAGCCTCTAAATTTCCCTTGATGCATAAAAGTTTCAATTTGGCTTGGAATGCATTTAAAGAAGCATAATGTGCGTATTTTGGTAAACAATCAACTAAAAGTTCTTTTCGATCTTCCAGTTCTTGAAAATGAGTCAAGTTCAGGTTTAAAAAATTTGCAGCGTGGAATTAATAGTTGTGTTTCTGCTATGGCTATTTATGACGTTCCCACTGACGGTTGGGATCCCATATTAGTATTTCTGTGTCTGCAAAGACTACCCAAACAAACCGTTACACTATGGGAACAAAGCGTCAAAAATAAATCAGCGCTGTCATCTTGGAATGATCTGGACAATTTTCTTACGGAAAGGGTTCAGACTTTAACATGCCTTAGAGATATCAAAGGTATAGATGATTCCAAGAAAGTAGATAGTAAAAAAGTGCGGACACATTTTACGAACGCTTCCAGTTCTCGTTCCACCTGTTCTACAACTTCCAATCGGTCATCTCCTGAAAAATCTTGTGTGCTTTGCCCTTCGCAATCTCATCATTTAAGATCATGTCCTGAGTTTAGAAATCGTTCTCTTTCAGATCGATTCTCTCTTGTTAAGCGTCATCATTGTTGCATTAATTGTCTCTCCAGAGGTCATGATGTAAAAAATTGTAGCAGCACTCATAGTTGTGCTAAGTTTAATAGAAGACATCGCACTTTGCTACATAGGGAAGCTTTTCCAGTTACTATTACTGCTAGTAATATTCCGCCATCCTCTCATGGTCCATCAGGTTCTAAAATTCTCTTACAGGGAATGCAATCTAATATTTTGGGTTCTTTAATTGCGCAAAATACTGTGTTTGGCTGGATCATTACTGGTCCCATTTCTGCTAGCAACATCAGAGTATTTTCTACTAACGTTGCATATTCTGAAGAAGATAATATAAATAAGACACTTCTTCGATTTTGGGAACTAGAAGAGGTTCCAAAGCGCTCAATCTTGTCTCCTGCTGACAAATATTGTGAGGAAAATTATAAAAAAACTACTAGAAGAGACTCCAATGGCAGATATATTGTCACTCTACCAATCAAACCAGAATTCTTTGGCCAACCTAACCTTGGTCATTCTAGAGCAAATTGTCTACGACAATTCATTCGTAATGAGGCTTCTCTGCTCAAAAAACCAAATATTAAGCAAATTTATGATGGTGTGGTGAAGGAATATTTAGAATTAGATCATATGAAATCAGTACCTGTTCCTTCTGCAAACTCTACGGTTTGCTATTTGCCACACCATCCAGTAATAAATCCAGAGAAACAAACTACCAAATTAAGGGTGGTTTTTAATGCCTCAAATAAAACTTCAAATGGTAATAGCTTGAATGATGTGCTCTATGTCGGTCCGACTCTTCAGTTAGATTTAGTTCTACTCATTCTGAGATGGAGAGTATTCAAATATGTTTTCAATTGCGATATTACGCAAATGTATCGCCAAATTCTAGTAGATTCAGCTCACACACCTCTTCAGCGTATTCTGTTCCGGGATTCTCCCGACAAACCAATTCAAGATTTTGAGCTGAAGACGGTGACTTTTGGTGTCAACTGTGCGCCATATCTGGCTATCCGTACTTTGTTGCAGTTAGCAGATGACACCGAAGACAAATTTCCTCTTGCAGCACATATCCTGCGTAAATGCATGTACGTTGACGACGTACTAACTGGGTACCACAATTTAGAGACAGCGCATCTTTCTAGAGATCAATTAATACGTGTCCTATCTTCAGCTAAATTTGAGTTGCGGAAATGGACTTCTAATGATCGTTCTATACTAGAATGTCTTCCAGCTGAACACCTAATCGACACTAAACTTCTCGATTTTGTTGAAGCCAGCAGTTCAAAGCCTCTCGGCATTCGTTGGAATGCTCAATTAGATGTATTTTATTTTAATGTAAAACCACTTACTAAAAAATCCACCTACACTAAACGGGAAGTGCTCTCTACTATTGCCAAATTGTTTGATCCTATTGGGTGGTTAGGCCCTGTTTTAATTGTAGCTAAAATTATAATGCAACGTATTTGGTTAGATCACATCGATTGGGATGATTCTCTTCCGTCTACGACGGAGGGTGCTTGGCAGAAATTCGTTGAGACGTACCAGGACGTCAATTTTATTCAAATTCCTCGATGGGTTAATTATGTTCCTGATTGCTCCGCAGAACTTCATATATTTTCTGATGCCTCAGAAGGCATATGCGGGGGTGGTATACATTCGTATTATTGCCTCCAATGGTGACATTTCTACTCATTTATTGTCATGTAAAACTAAAGTAGCCCCTATTAAATCTATTTCTCTTCCACGCCTAGAGTTGTGTGGTGCGGTCTTGGCCTCTGAACTCTTCAAAGCCATTACTGCTGAGATTGATATACAATTCTCTAAAACATATTTTGGACCGATTCTACGATCTTTTATCTTGGTTGAAGAAAATTCCTTCTACATGGTCAACTTTTGTTGCGAATAGGGTCTCTAGAATACAGGACAACGTTGGTAAAAATGTTTGGCATCATGTATCTTCCGAAGATAATCCTGCTGATTTGGGAAGTCGCGGACTTACGCCCGCTGAATTGGCTTCTTCTCAAATTTGGTGGCACGGACCACATTGGCTCCGTTTAAAAAGTTCTGAATGGAAGTTGCGCGACTTGTCTGCTCTTGATACGGATGTAGAAATTCGTGCAATTAGAAGTCACTTTTCATACTTTGAAAATTTCGTTGATATTTTAGATAATTTTTCGTCGTTAGATAAGGCTTTACGAGTCGTATCGTTAATTTTTACTTTTTTTCACAAAATACATCCTTGTACTACTCAAAATATCGTTTAAGAACAAGCTCCTACGAGCTACGAACTAAAAAATGTGAAAATAAGGCTAATTGTTTTGGCTCAAAAAGCGTATTATGCCGATGAATATAGTTGTTTATCTAACAATAGGCCCTTAAATTGAAAAAGTTCGATTTTGTCCTTAAACCCCTTTCTAGATGATGTAGGTGTTATGCGACTTAATTGACGTTTAGTTCGGTCACCTACTCTTTCCTACTCAGAACGACATCCTATTTTGCTTCTCTACCATTGCAAATTTGCTCGTTTGCTTGTTGAAAAAATTCATTTAATTTCCGTTCATGGTGGAAATTAACTAATGTTGCGTCTGGTGCGTAAAGTTATTGGTAATTGTAAACCTTGCATTTTAGAAAAGAAAAAGTCTTGTACACAGATTATGGCTGCTCTTCCTCCGGAACGAACAACCATAACGCGACCATTTGCCACTACAGGTGTTGATTTTGCTGGTCCCTTTGATCTTAAATCTTTTACTGGTCGCAAGAAAGTTAAAGCGATCGGACGTGTTTTTCCTAGCTCCAATAAATAAGCAAATTGTGACGGTTTTTAAAAAGATTTGAACACTAAAAAGTGAATAAATATACCATTAAATGATTGCTAGTGCAGCTAGTGAAATTGGTTTCTATATTCAAAAGATAATTAGTGCATTTTAACCAAAACATTAATGTGTTTTAAAACAAATATTGAAAGCATAAGAAAAAAAACACAAAAATAGTGGAGAGAGATTGAGAGAGTGCACAGAGTAAAACATTTTGAAGTTTATACCAAATGTCAAGTGTGAAGCAGTGCATTGTGCTAAAAAAAGAGAAAAGTAAAAAGCTTTTTTTTACACTTTCATCCTTAAACTGTGCATTAAAAATTAGCCATTTTAAACCAGATTTCTTAATCAAATCTCGGCCTAAAAGTATGCTTTAAAAACATCTAATTTTTAACTTTTGAATTTTAATCATATGTGGTGAATATATACATATACATGTGCCTAAAAGTATGCAAAGATTTTGAATACATTACAAAATAAAAATTTCAAATAAAACAATTAAAAAAACAAATTACTCAAACTCAAACTTTTATTTTAAACATCTATATTAATTAATAAAATAAAATGCCATCAAATACTGGCCGTAGAAGCCTGAGATCAAAGAAGATAGTTTGTGCTCACTGTAAACTTGATATAAATGAAGATAAAGATGATTATATTGAATGTGATAAATGCTCCAAACTTTATCATATAATATGTACAAAATTGGACAAGAAACAGTATGAGCATTTATTAAAACATGAAGAGGACGAATATATTTGTCAAGTTTGTGATGATAAATCGGATGCTATGATAACAAACCAATTAAAACGTATGGAGGAAAAACTTGATAAAATTGATCGCCTCACAGAGTCAGTTGAGTTCATGTCGAGTAAATTTGATGAACTGATGAAGAGTATTCATGTTAATACAAAAAGAATAGATAATGTAGAGAAAGAAAATACAATCCTTAAATCGGAAATAAAAACATTAAAGGAATCCGTGAAAATGTTAAATGACCAACGGGTCAAAAATGATTGTGTCATAAACGGACTTAGTGACACAGGTAATCAAAGTGCTGTGCAAGCTGTTATTGCCCTCTCAGAAACAGTTGGTGTTCAAATGAATGAAGAGAATATTGAAGAGGCATACTTTTTAAAAAAGAGAAACACAAACAATAAAAATCAGTCGTTGGTTGTTAAATTTAATTCAAAATCGGCTAAAAACAAATTAATGGATGCAAAAAAAAAGTTAAAAGAGAATGAAAATACAAAGTCAATATATGTGAACGATTTCCTAAGCAAAGAGTCATTGGAACTTTTCAACTACGCCAAATCATTAAAAACAGTGGGCTTTAAATACATATATACATACGGTAACAAAATTTACGTTAAAAGAAGCGCTTTAAATAAACCGAAACTAATTCGAAGGAAAGAAGATGTTGATGAAATATTGCTTGAAGCAACAACAAATAACTTCCACGGAAGAAGATCGATGCGTATTTTATCTGTTCCAGAAGAAGAAGAAGAGGATACTGATGACAATGATGTTGAAGTTAATGCCGACTTTGTATCACCAGTAAATCACCGTAATTAAATACATGCATTATTATCTTTATTATTATTAAAATAACAAAATGAATAATAAAAATAAATATTTTAAAAGCATTGATATATTTAAAAATGAATTTAATGGTAATTATATCAACAAATTGAATATTATGTCTGTAAACGTAAGAAGCATTTCCTCATTAAACAAATTTGATAAATTTAAATCAGTAGTGGCAAATCTTCCAGTATTGCCGAAGATCATTGCTATTCAAGAAACGTGGTTCCAAAAGAATATAACACAAATTTATGCAGTCCCTGGGTATAATGCCATACACTGTTGCCGCATTGATGGATATGGAGGTACATCATTTTATATACGTGATAACATAACATATACAGTTGAACTTTGCGAGAGCGTAAACTTTATTGAAGCAATACGAATATCTGTGGATGGAATTTTAGTAAATGGGATACCACTGAAAGTCACAACCTTTTATCGGTCTCCGAAATGCAACGTGACAACATTTCTTTCATACCTTGAAAACAATTTATGTGGACCATGTCGAACTGGATCATTAATTCTTGGAGACTCAAATATTGATCTGATTGACTCTAACAGCTCATCAGATTTGCTTTCTATTCTTTCATGTGTTGATTATGAATCTTGTCACCAATTAATATCTCGTCCGATGAGTAACACATGTATTGATCATGTGTATAGCAATCTAGCAACAAGATTATGCATAGACTCAATTGAATGCACTCTATCAGACCACAACATTATTTGGTGTCAAATGGAAAATGTAATGAGGAAAAAGAATGAACCACCCCAAAAAATAAAGAATTACAATTTTGATAACATCTCGTCAGAAATTCAGATTGAAATGGATAAATTTGATCATACCGATGATCCATCTGCTGATTTAGAGATAATAACATCGGCTATTACAAAAATAATCAAAGCAAACACAACTTTTACGACAGTTAAAGGTTTGTCGAGACCAATGTTAACTCCATGGGAGAATAAACACCTAACATCGCTCAGAATATACAAAGAAAAGCTATTGGCTAAGAGAAGAAAGAGAGGCAAGGATGAAAAAACTGAATTCATATTAAAAAACATAAGCAGAATCATAAAAATTTCTAGCAAAATATGTATGAATTCCTATATAAGCTGGAATCTAGAGAAATTGGAACAAAATCCACGTAAAAGTTGGAATTTTCTTAACAAATGCTTAGGAAGAAAGGATAAGCATACTATTCAACTTATCAATGAAGCCAATGAACAAGTATATGATGATTATATAAAATGTAATATATTCAATGATTACTTTTTAAATATTCCCAAAATCTTGAAAAACAAAATTATTCCTACCGATGGTGACAACTTTAACAAGTTCTGTACCTTAACAAGATGCGCATCAACTTTTTCGTTCAATATTGAAAGCAGAAATAATATTATGAGTCTTATCGAAACCGCTGATAATGGCAAAAGTCCTGGTCATGATGAAATATCAGGTAAAATTTTAAATACATCTAAGAATTGTATTTGGGAGCACCTATTGTTAAATTTCAACAATATGGTAAACAAGTGTATATATCCAGATGTTCTTAAAATAGCTAAAATTGTACCAGTACCGAAACTGCCAAATGCAAATAAAGCATGTGA